GTTTATGCTGCTGCAGAGTCTGTGAGGAGGCGTCCTGAACCGGAGAACTGCCGTCAGTCATCGCTTCTCTCCATGTGACATCTCTGTCACCTTCTCCGGCCCCTCTCAGCCAGGGCTCCCGCAATGCTCGGAAAGCACCTGATTTCTGCTGCTGTTACGGACCCACAGTCTGAGGGCTGGGAAGGTCAATCAATAAACTCGTCCGCGATTAACTAGTAAGGGCCGGCGCCGAGGCTCCAGCCCACACCCAAGCCGCTGATCTCAAGACAGACCGTCTGGGCTCCTTCTGCCCTCCGTCACTGCCTCGCTCCACGGCCATTTGAATATGCTAAGCCGCGTTTTATTCATTCAGAAAATGTACACATATTTCCTCTGAGTGTTGTCCTCAATGATTAGCACTGTGCTTAGTGTACAGTCATGTGCTAAACAAATACTATCTTTAAAAAACATATACAGCCCAGTCGGCGGGGCTCAGTGGTCGAGCATCGACCTATGAAGCAGGAGGTCACGGTTCAATTCCCAGTCAGGGCACAGGCCTGGATTGTGGGCTCGATCCCCAGTGTGGGGCGTGCAGGAGGCAGCTGGTCAATGACTCCATCTCATCATTGATGTCTCTCTCTCTCCCTCTCCCTTCCTCTCTGAAATCAATAAAAACAAAGAAACAGCAACATGCATGTAATGACTATTGTGCCGATCTTGTTGTACCAGGTTCTTGAACCGTCTTCTCACAAATACCTCCCTGCTTCACACGCGTGGTCTTCTCCAAGCCCGGCTCCGACCCAGTCACTCTCTGGCCTAAACCGCCAGCGCATGGCTGGTACCGTCCGTCCCCAGCGCTCGCTGTTATGGCCACGGCCACGTTCCAGCATCTCGTCCCACGACTGTTTCTGATTTTCTTCAGCATCCAACCGACACGGGCAACTCAGCCTTCCCAGGCGGCCCTGATTTCCAGCCACACCTGGCCTGGCTGAGGCTCCGGCCGGGGACTCGCTCCCTGGACTGTGCACACACACAGGCCCGCACACACACACAGCCCACCCCCCCACACTCACA